AAGTTATCAGAATTATAGATTGTAAATATTTGGCATTTCTAATGAAATCAGGATTATGTAATGATGTTTTTTTAAAATATATTTAATATTTTTTCTATTGTGTGGTCAGTTGATATGCAGATAAAACATTTTAAACATGTTTCAGTATAAAGTTACTTTAATGTATTTAACTTCCTTCCATATAGTTACATCACCAAACTGCCATCACCCGTTTGCTGCAGATGTCTCTGATTCAAAAGTGGTTGAGGACTTGGTTGGAATGGTGAAAAAAATGTGAGAAATGAGCAATGGATTGTATTTCTTCTTGACAATTGAATAAATATGAGTCATTTTTCTTTGTTTAATCAATCCATACAGTTCTATTTGATGGTTTCTGATAACACTTTTTTTTTCAAGTTACACATGTATCTAATGAGTCTTAAAAATTTCATAAAATGATTCTTTTCCTTCTATGATATTACTGTCTACCAGAAGTCCCAGCTGTTACAAAATCTTCAACAATTTCTATAATCAGCCAGGGGATACACATACACATAAAAGAAACTAAATGAATTGTTGCCTTGTTTTTGGATTTTTTGTATACATATGTACATTTGACATATATACAACATCTAGGTATGAGGGCGTTCCATCCATATTGGTTAATGCAGCAGGAATCACCAGGGATAATTTTTTACTAAAACTTGATGAGAAGAGTTTTGATGAAGTTATCAAAGTTAATCTGAAGGTAACAAAGATGACTGCATGTAAAAGTACCAGTACACACATGTTTATGAAGTCAATGATTCCTCTTGAATATTTTATATATTAGATAAATATTTAAAACCTATTATTTGCAGTGCTGCATATATTTATGTGTTTTTATTAAGAAATATCAGTAAAACTCATATTCATTAACATAAGTTAATCCTGTTGAAGTATCCCTGGTTAAAATAAGTGTTTTTGAAAAACAGAGGTCTAAGTTAAAGAAAAATTAAAAAAAAGAAGGGTTGTTAAAGTTTGATGCACAGGTATTTTGTACCGCCAGAAAAACTTAAAATGGTTTTTATTTTTTTTAGAAACCATTTCTATTTGTTATAATTACAACTGTCATCTGTTATGAATGTAAAGGGTACTTATCTGATGACCAAGGCCATAGCCCAATTAATGGTGGAAAATTCTCAGCCTGGGTCTATAGTTAACATTGCAAGTATAGTGGGTAAAGTAAGTACATAGCTACTCAAAATAATTATGAGCATTTTTTGACCAAGAATGGCCCAAAATTCTGAAAAATGTCCATTTTGAATGACTTGTTTTAACGTGGTCAAAGTGCAATAATTTTTCTGCCTTTAATATAAGGCAAATATTTACATATGACAGCGTTTGCTTAAGTCCTAAAAGATTTCCTCACAAACAGTATTCTTTATTGAAATGAGAATTGTTAAGTTAACACATTTCTTAGTTAAGAACACAATCACCAAAGTTAAATTACATGGCAAAATATAGTGACTAGAAATATTTAAATTGATCTTTTCCAAGGTGGGCAATATTGGTCAAGCTAATTATGCTGCCTCAAAGTCTGGACTGGAAGGGTTGACCAAAACAGTAGCTAAGGAAATGGGGAGGTAAGGAAGGTGACCTTCTGCAGCCTTGTTTAGGTTCAAAGATAACAATGTGTCTGATTTCCAGAAACAATTTTCAAACTTGTTCCAGTTTATTGTTTGTTTTTTTTTTATTTAGTAAAAAAGTGTATTGGATTTACCCCTGATAAGACATAAGTGGCATCTTTTCTTGAAATTTAAAAGTATTTTTATGAATATTGCCTTATTCATAATGTCATGCTTTGCAGGTACAAGACAATTATTTTTAAAATAATGAAAAGTTCTCAATATTTAAAACAGACATGAGCTTTTCCGATCTTTTTAACAAAATGAGTATTATATTATATTATATTATATTATATTATATTATATTATATTATATTATATTATATTATATTATATTATATTATATTATATTATTCTTAGGTATGGTATTCGCTGTAATGCTGTGTTGCCAGGTTTCATAGACACTCCAATGACAGAGGCTGTGCCAGAGAAAGTGATAGATAACATGAGGAAGATGATACCAGCAGGCAGGACAGGAAAACCAGAAGGTTGACATGGACCAGAACTCCCTGCCCTAGCCAACGGTTCTCTCTCCCCCTCTCTTTTTCTCTCTCTCTCTCTCTCTCTCTCTCTCTCTCTCCCTCTCCTCCCTCTCTCTCCCTTCCCTCTCCTTCTCCCTCTCTCTCTCTCTCCTTTTCCCTCTCCTTCTCTCTATGTGCCTCCGTCTCTTCCTATCTCACTCTGTCTCTCTTTCCCTCCCTCTCGCTGTCTCTCTGTCTTTCTGCTGGAAGGCTTTGTATTTTTGTATTTTTTCCTCCGCCAAAAAGGTTATGTTTTCACCCCTGTTTGTTTGTTTGTCTGTCTGTTTGTTGTCAACATAAACTCAAAAAGTTATGGACCGATTTTGATGAAATTTTCAGGAACTGTCAGAAGTGGGACAAGGAACANCTTCCTATCTCACTCTGTCTCTCTTTCCCTCCCTCTCGCTGTCTCTCTGTCTTTCTGCTGGAAGGCTTTGTATTTTTGTATTTTTTCCTCCGCCAAAAAGGTTATGTTTTCACCCCTGTTTGTTTGTTTGTCTGTCTGTTTGTTGTCAACATATACTCAAAAAGTTATGGACCGATTTTGATGAAATTTTCAGGAACTGTCAGAAGTGGGACAAGGAACAAATGATTAGTTTTTGGTGGTGATCCGGATCAATAATCAATCAATAATCAAAAACTAAATCATTATAGAATGAAAATTTAGGGGTGAAACAGCATTGGGTGGAGACTTTGCTGCTTTGGCGGAGGTCTGCGCTCTCGGGGTGCTTTTCTAGTATTTCCATGGTTTGGGATTTTAAAAACACATGATCTGCAAATACTAGAATAAAAAATTCATTAAAAGGATGTGGCTAGTAGGGCCATAAGGGATAATTGTTAACAGCAAATAAGAATGTGTCTAGTACAAAGTTCATGTTTTTACAGTTGTCATAAAATTGAGTTTTTTATTTTTGGAACCTCACTTTAGCAAATCAGTGTTTCACAGGAGATTTATGTTTTATTTCCTTACTTTTCAACCTCAACTGAACTTTTAAATTGCACCCAAGCACAAATATAGGTCAGATTTATTCTTCTTTTTGACATTTTGCAAATCAAAGCCATTTCTTTCAGGTCTGGACTTTAAAGCTAGTTATATAGTCACAAAGGTCAGTTTAACCCTAAGAGTCGTGTCATTGTAATCTTATTTAGCACATTAATTGGAATTATTAAAATGTTGTCTCTTATAGAGGTGGCAGAGGCTTGTTTGTTCTTGGCTTCGGACAGAAGCAGTTATGTCACTGGAATAAGTCTGGAAGTGGCAGGTTTGTTAATATCAATTTCAAGTTCTTTTGAGATAATTAAAATAATCTGAAAATTGCCAAATCCATAATTTAACACAAACCATATTTGTTTAAGAACATTTTCACCTTTCAGGTTGATTAATGTTCAATGTGCTTTTTCAGGTGGACTTTTTATGTAAGAGTTACAAGACATATAGCTCCAGCCGGATATTGACTTTGCCAGGGAATCAATATTCAGGGAAATTTTTGTACATGTAGCATTAAGTCTCATTATGACAGCTAATCTGGAATTTTGTAGAATTCAGGTATATTTACAGTATTGTTATGTAAGTTTATCTGAGATCTGGGGGGGGGGGGGGGGGGAGTTGACTGGCAATAGTTTTAGGGAGGGGGGCACAGTTGAGGGGCAATTTTGGAAGGAGAGGTGGGTGCAGGTGACAGACAGTATTTGGGTTCAGTTAATTAGCAATGTTGCACCAAATGCATTATTTCAGAGGTTTCAGGTGATTTAAGGTTGTTTTAATAACAGTAGATATCATGTTCATAATGTGATTTTATAAAGAAATATATGCAGTCAGATGAATTTTGAAAATATTTGATTTGTCTTGGGAACCGTCTTGATGCCCTGAGTGTCTGAGTCACTGTGAGGCAGACTTCAACAGAGACTCTGAAGAACAGCAACAGTGTACGATTTCCGTCAATAAAAATAAAATAAATGCTCCTCAGCGAGTCTGCAGTTGAATGTCATTAGACCAAAATGAAACGTAAAACAGATTTAATTCTGCTTTATTTAATTTTATTTACTGTATTTAAGATGTAAAGTGAAAAATAAATAATATGCTTCTAAATAAAAGATATATATCCAATGTTTTTGTATTTTTTGCTTATCAAAGAACATTTTCTCCTGAATATATCAACACAATACATGTGCTTGCCGTGTGCCAAGTTTGACAGCTACACACTATGCACCATACCACTATAAGGGCTGCGCAATGGCTAGACCTGGTATTGCTGATATGGGCTATGTATGAAATCGAGATCAAGCTGGCAATACCGGAATCTAGAACCTAGGGTAGGAATTGATAAAACAGTTAATTTTTTCATCATCATGTTGAAAATGCTATGCACATTGTACCTCATATTTCATAAGAACTTGGAAAAACAACTTGTAAAAATTATAAGGTTTTTTTTTTCAAATCACAATCCATGTACGATAGACTGATTTTTTGAAAGTTTTTCTGAATGTTTATATCCATTTTAATGTACTGTATCGTCTTCTACTTGCACAGCCATGGGTCCCATATACGATGAATTTTAAGAATAAATATATTGTCATCAACTCTGTCCTCCTGTTCTCCAGATAGTTACAGATCCCATTTACACACACAACTTTGATTATGCTGACAAAATGTGTAGAATATCCGAGATTTCTATTTGACAGAAACCAACTGAATATGAGGTTTCATTTCTTTTTCTTCTTCAGTCTTTTCATATGCTTGTGAGGTCCTCTGGCCTTTCTGGTGGCTTCTTGTATTTCTGCATACTTCCTTTTGTTAAATCTGAAAAAAAAAAAGAAAAATCTCAACTTCTCTTTTCTCTAAGCTACATATTCTATCTCTAAAAGTTAACGAAACTGTACATTAAGATAAAAATTACCTATTTTATATGTTTGGCAAAACAGTAGCCTACAGTTAAGCTCCACCTATAATGGAAGCATGTTTGAACATTATGGAAATTTCTGTTTTAATTACATTCATAAAACAAGTTGCAAAATGCACACCAAAAATTTTAATCCAATCTAATAAAGACTTACAAAAAAAGACCTACAAATGACTTCAACAGGCTCTTAGCAACACCTTTTTATTATTCAGACTGTAAGACATAAACCTGGGTAAAAAAAAATTCTAAACACGTTGTTGGACAAAACACATGCAATCATTGGAAATATGCTGGCAGAAAATTTCGAATCAATATTCAGTACATACTGTCTAAATTCTGCATCATCTAACAGCTCATCCACAAATGTCTTCTTCCTTGACTTCTTGGGTACTCTGTCATGGTAAAAATCCACAGGTGATTCCATAACTGTACCCATCTGTAAAAAAAAATTAACATTTTACATAATACTCCACACCACATGATAATGCACATTCTGTTCTTCATCACCATATTTCACCAAAGTTTAATATTTAGGAAAATTTCTGTAAAA